CATTGCTCATCGCACACTGCTCAACGCTCATTGCCCTATATCCCACCCAGCCGCAGGACTCCACTGCCGCCCGCGCCCCGCCCCATCTGGCCGCTTGCGCGCCCCATCCCCCCTCGATGGGGCCCACCCACACCGGGGCCTCGCCCCCTCCCGCCCACTGCTTTCTCAACGGCCCCGAGCCGGGGCTGCCCTCATTGCATACATAGTGCGCCTTTCCCTGCTTTTCTAGTGACCTAGCGTTCCGCACTGCCGTTTGGCCAGCCCATGCTCCCGTACCGTTGCGTTTCTCCCCAATGCGCCATGCCACTTTGCCAGTCATACACACGTTTCGATGCGTGCCCTGTCAGCTGCTTGCGTTGCATGTCGCCTTGCTCCACCCCTGTTTTATTGCTTTCTCTGCTTTCGCCCGGTTCCCGTCCCGTTTCGGCGGGGAGTCTATGTTGCAAGCTAGTTCTTGCTTTACCAGACTTTAAGCCCACACAAGCAAGCAAGTAAGCGCTCCCTGTGGCATGCACCTCGGCAGCATGCATCTCGGCTGCCAGGCCCACCATGTTGTGCATCCGCCGCCACTTGCTTGCTTGCCTGTGTGGGCTTACAGTCTGGTTTCAGCAAGAACAAGCTTGCTGCGCAGACTTTGTTGTTTGGACAGGGAGGTATGAAGCAGTAGAGCAACAAGCATGCCCGCCACATGCCCGCCCTCCAGGATGCCGTGCGACAACAACGAGAAGGTTCTGGGCTTCATGTCGGTGAAGACCAACCCTGCCGGCAACCCGTCGTTTGTCAAGGTGCCCAGATGGTCGGCAAGGGCTGTGTTGGAGCTGCTGCTGCTCATCGTTGGGGCAGCGGTCGGGGAACCCAGCATGGACGATGCAACGTCATGCTACGTCATGCATGCTGTGTGTGCTCCAAGCCAGCCGTGCTGGACCCACCCCGTTCTTGTTTTCGGAGCCATGCGCAGGTGGACAAGGTATACCCCGGCACGACGCTTACCAAAGATTGGAAGCAGCTGCAGCCCCTCCCGTGCCCCACCGGCTTTGCCAAGGCCAGCAAAAAGCAGTTGAACCAGTACATCAAGCGCTTCCTGTACGACTATATCACCAACCAGAAGGTTCATTCATTCATTCATTCATTCAGCACACAGCCCGGCCGCCTCTTGCTCGAGGGCGGCCCACTTTGGCCTGGGCAGCCCGGGCCGCCCTCCCCCCCGGGCGCATGTTCGGTGTTGGAGGGGTGTGCCCAGCGATAGGGGGCCCCTGAAGGCATGCGCCGAGGCCGGGAAGCGTGGTTCGGCGCTGCTGCACGCTTGGCGATTTGACCAGAACCACGTGCCGCCGAGCTGCGGCCGCAGTTTCCGGCCCACGGTCTACGGTCGCAGCCACGGGACTCGGCGGCACGGCGTTTGGGCCCAAGCTTGCTGCCGCCGCCGCCGTGCCCGGGGGGCAGCGCGGCGGCGGCGGCGGCACGCTGCGACGCCCCCGTGCTGCCGAGCTGCGGCCGTAGTTTCCTGCCAGAAGCCCACGGCCACAGCCACGGGACTCGGCGGCACGGAGTTTCGGTCCACGGCTTGCTGCCGCCGCCGTCGCAGGGGTGCTGCCTGCGGCGGCGGCGGTAGCGCACGTGGCAACCCCCCGCGTTTCCTTGCCTCCCATCCACCGGACCCCGTCCTGCGCTTCACTTTGTTTAGGGAGGGGCTGCTCACTGCTCATTGCTCATGCTCC